CGGAAGGCGCCTCGGAAAGCGCAGAATACTCCTCCAAGGCGCGGAATCATGTTCCCGGACCGCCTTCCGGGAACATGATGGGGACGACCTCCTGAGGGCTTCCAGTGGGCCTCTTGGGGGCCTCTCGGAGGCCTGTTGGGCTCTCCTGGAGGCGTCTTGGGGAGCGTGTATATATATATAGAGGGAAGAAATTGAAATACGTGGAAGGAAGCGGCACGACTCGGGAGGGCTTGGGGGAGGGGAATATATATATATATATATATATATATATATGTGTGTATATATATACATATATATACATATATATATATATATATAGAAACAGACGTAAGACATGTAGGGTTGTGTACACAGGAGAAGGACAATCTATAGAAACATACGTACGTCGTCCAGGGCGCCTCGGAAGGCGCCTCGGAAAGCGCAGAATACTCTTCCAATGCGCGGAATCATGTTCCCGGACCGCCTTCCGGGAACATGATGGGGACGACCTCCTGAGGGCCTCCAGTGAGCCTCTTGGGGGCCTCTCGGAAGCGACCTCCTGAGGGCCTCCAGTGGGCCTCTTGGGGGCCTCTCGGAGGCCTGTTGGGCTCTCCTGGGGTCTTGGGGCGCGCTCAGGGCCATTTTTGGGCATCTTGGGGGCCTCTGGGGGCCTCCGGGGAGGCTCTTGGGGGCCTCTTTGGGGCCTCTTGGGGCCTCGCGGGGCCCTCTTGGGGACCGCTGGGCTCGCTTAGGCAGTCTTGAAGCCCTGTCGGGGCTCTCCTGGAACCGTCTTGGGCGGCTCCTGGGCCATCTTGGGGCTCTCCTGGGCCGTCTTGGGACGATTTTGGGGGTCTCTTGGGCCGTCTTGGGGCGGTCTTGGGGGCCTCTTCGGCCGTCTTGGAGCGGTTTTGGGAGACTCTTGGACGGTCTTGGAGCGTCGGAACCCCGAAAAAGCGAGAAGGCCAAAAACCTAGAAAAAACCAATACAAATCAACGATTTTGGCTTGACGGGGCTCTCTTGGGAGGCCTCTTGGGATGCCTTCGGGGCCTCATGGAGCTCTCTTGGAATGTCTTCGGACCTTCCTGGCCATTCCTGAGGCTATCTATGCGCGTCTGGGAGCGCTCGCGGGCCGTCTTGGGCGGTCTCGAACTGTTCCTGGCGGTCCCAGGGGCCCTCCGGGACGCTTCGGACGCTCCCAGGGGCGCCCTGCACCCCCATGGAGATGACAGGCACCGCCCCGGGGCCCTACTCCGATATATATATATATATATATATATATATATATATATATATATGTATGTGTATGTGTGTGTGTATGTGTGTGTGCGTGTTTTCATGTTCTGTATGCGAGCTGCGGTTTTAGTTGAGGTGGCATGCGCTGCCGTCGAAGTCCCGTTCGTACACACATCCCTCAAACTCCGTATCTCCCAAAGGGTGGTCAAACATTTGAGTCCTAAACCTTCAACGGCGCCCAACAAAGGGCATTGGTGATGGCAATAGCGAGTGTTACACGACGACGGCCATGGTAGAACTGACTGTGGTGAATGGAATGCATCAGGGGTCGGGCCTCGCGAAGACCGACGGAAGAGGGGGGCGAATACTCGTCTAACTTACATAATTAGCGTCTCGGGGAAACACGACAAAAACAAACGCCCTCCCTGAAACTGGCCGACGAGGGCAAATCCGTCATGGCCCTCGAGCCTATGGTATAAGATTCGCGATAAGTGGCGTGATCGGGGGAGTGGGAGGGAGAAGTGCGCCTCCCGATCGAATCGCGGGGGCGCCGACCCTGTGGGCGTGTGTGAGAGGCTTTTTCGTTCGAGTCGTCAACTTCATCATGTATTTGTCGCCGTCGCTGGCGTCCCCTTTCCTTGCGCCCCACTTTTCCCTGGGCCCGTCGCCGCTCCTCTCCTCTCTTTCCTGGGCTCTTCTCTTCAAGCTCGCCACCCCTGCACAGTCATGCGCGCCAATTAAAGCAAAATTCAACAACGTCGTATTTGAGTCGAAGGGAACCCCCTTCCCTCAGATTCTCCCCCGCCAGGGGGGGGGGAAGTTCCACGGGGTCCCGGGGGGGGGGGGGGCCCGACCCTGATTCGATTCCCTCGGGGCGGCTCCCGGGCCCTCAAAGAAAAACCACGGCGGCCCAAGAGGGCCCCAAGAGGCTCCCAGGACGGTTCAGGAGGGCCCGAATCGCCGTGACGGCCTGCAGACGGACCAAAAAGCATGCAAGACGCCCCGAGAAGCCTAGAAGAGCACTCCCAAAAGGGCACCAATATGAACAATCACTGATTTCCCCTTGATTTTGAAGCATTTCGGCGTTGTCGCCTCTTCCGCTTTCCGACGCTTTAAGATGGCCCAAGAGGCCCCCCATATCGCCTCAAGACGGTCCCAGAGGTCTCCAGGAAGGGCCCACAACGGCTCCAAAGAACTCCAAAACGGCCCAAAGACGCCTCCAAATTGCCCAAAAGGTCCCCAAAACGAATCCAAGAGAATGCCCAAACGAGGGAGCAGAACGGACATTTCGAGCCCTCGGCCCCGGGAAGCTCCCAGGAGGAACCAAGAGGCCCACAAGAGGCCCGCAAGAGACCCCAAAAGGCCCCAAGGAGAGCCCCAGGAAGCCCCGAGACACCCACGAGAGCCCCCCAAGAGGACACTGCCCCCCACAGGCCCCCAATTCAAACATCCCTGTGGACTCTCACCCAAGTCAGCGCAAGATGGCCCAAGAGGCCTCCCCTGTCGCCCCAGAACGGCCCCAGAGGCCTCCAGGAGGGACCCAGAACTGCTCCAGAGAACTCCAAAACGGCCCAAAGACGCCTCCAAAATCGCCCAAAAGGTCCCCAAAACGAATCTTAGAGAATGCCCGAACGAGGGAGCAGAACGGACATTTCGAGCCCTCGACCCCGAGCTCCCAGGAGGAACCAAGAGGCCCACAAGAGGCCCGCAAAAGACCCCAAGAGGCCCCCAAGAGAGCCCCACGAAGCCCCGAGACGTCTCCAAGAGACTCCCAAGAGGCCCCCAAGAGCCCCCCAAGAGAACCTTACACTGCCCCCCACAGGCCCCCAACAGCGCTTCGAAAACACCCAAGAAGCATCCCTGAGGACCCTCACCCACGTCAGCGTCCTCGTCGTGGTCAGCCCAACAGCGTCTACACAGTAACGTGGTGGCCACACTGCCCAATGTCTCCATGGCGGCACCCCCCCGCATGCTGGTAGATGGCAAATCCATAGCGTTTTCTCCGCCATCCACATCCTCTTCCTCCCTCCGCCTCCTACTTACATTCCCCCCCTCCGCCATCCAGATCCTCCTCCCTTCTCCTCCTAATGGCCTTGCCTTCTCCATTTGTTTCCCTTCTTCCCTGGGCTCTTCTCCTCCAGCGCGCCAGCCCTGCGCAGTCAAGCGCCAGTTAAACCGAAATTCAACAACGTCGTATTTGAGTCGAAGAGAAGCCCCTTCCCTTTGACCACTTCCCCGCCGACGAGGGGGGGGTCCTGGGGAGGGCTAAGGGGAGTCTGGGTTCTTCTCCTCCAGCGCGCCAGCCCTGTGCAGTCAAGCGTGCTAGTTTAAGCGGAATTCGCCCACCCTGTCGGCATGTTCGAAGGGTTTGTATCGTCGTCTCCGTCAGTCGTCGTGTGCGTCGACCACTTTCCCTGCACCCTCCTCCTCGAGCCTGTCAGCGAGAGAAAACCTCGCAATGTAGCAGACGAATCGAAAGGACGTCCCTTCCCTCCTTTGATCTCTTCCCCGCGCTGGGGGGAGGGGTCCCGGAGGGGTCCAGGGGGGGTCCTGGGGGAGTCCCAGGGGGGGGTCGCCACCCAAATACGCTTCCACCCCGCGCGATTCCGAAACCCTCGCGCGGTCCCCGCGCGGTTCCGGAAACCCCGCGCAGTCCTGGAAGCCCCCCAAAAAACATAGGAATTTCCCACGGGACCTCCAAGAGGCCCCCGGACCCTCAAGACTCTTCCACCGAGGCTCCCCGAAGGCCCCAAGAAGCACAAAAGAGGCCCCCAAGAGCCCCCCAAGAGGCCCTGGGGGCCCCCAAGACGCCGCCAAGGAGCCCCAAGAGACTCCCAAAGAGGTCCCCAAGAGGCCCCCAAGAGGCCCTAAAGAGGGCTCCAGGGCTGGCGGAATGAGCGAAGCGATTAAGTTTCCCACGGGACCTCCAAGAGGCCCCCGGACCCTCAAGACTCTTCCACCGAGGCTCCCCGAAGGCCCCAAGAAGCACAAAAGAGGCTCTTAAGAGGCTCCCCAAAAAACCCAAAATTTGTCACGAAAAACCCCCGAGAGCCTTCCCGAGAGACCCCAAGAAGCATCCATGAGGACTCGGGCCCACGTCTGCGTCGTAGTCGTCGGCATCGTCGTCGTCGTCGTCGTCGTCGTCGTCGTCGTCGTCGTCATCGTCGTCGTCGTCGTCGTCGTCGTCGTCGTCGACGGCACCGGCAGCAAGGCCTTCTTAATCTTAGTAAATCGTTGGGAAATCCGTAGGAAGTGTCCCAAAAAACTTTGCCAGCTGCTGGCCCTGCCTACGTGAAAGGGAAGCGAGGGCGCGAAGAAAAGGGAAGGGCGCCAGTGCGAACTGAGGCGGTTTCTGCTCGCGGGGGAGGGGGGTACGGCGGTGGGGGGGGAGAGGGGCTGGCAGCCCGCGCCCGCGCGTCCGGCGGTTTCATAAGACTCCTGGTGGCCCCCAGGTGTCTCCCCAGAGGTCCCCGGAGGCCCAAAACACATTCGCGCCTTTCAAAAAAAGGTCTCACGCGAGGTGACGTAACAACCTTGCACGGTGGCGTTCGCGGGCCGCCCGCGCGGCGCGCCATATTTGAAGCGAGGGCGCTCACGCGCGACCTCACGCCCGGCAGCTTACGCGCCAATGTCAGCGCAGGCGGCCCATTCTGCTTGCGTCGCTAATCTGGAAGACTGCTAGAATCTCCCGGTGCTGGCGTCGACCCTCCCCGATCGCGCCGCGCCGTGGGCCATGAAAACCCCCGATCCTCGAGCCGCCCCTCCTTGACCGCGCCGCAGGCCCCGCCTGCTTGAGCGCGTCCAGCGCCGCGTGCTCGCGCGAGCGACCAGCGGGCTCGAGCTGGCGCTTGCGGGCCAGGGCCAGCAGCCCGAGCAGGCACGGGGCCAGGCCTGCGCAGAGAGAGGCAGTCAATGCGGACGGTCACAAAGAGACACGATGTGCAAATGGGGGACCCGTGCAGAGAGAGAGAGAGAGAGAGCACGTTCTCTTTCCTTTCACGGGGGCCCGCGCGCGCTCGCTGCCGGCGCGCCACGCGGCATGGGAGACAAGACCGAGGCGCAGGAGGAGGAGAGGCTGAATTGGGAATAACAACCACAGCTCCTACCTTTTTGTTTCGGTCGAACCCCCAGCCAATGCATCAGCTCATCCCTAGTTTCTTAATCAGGTCGTAGCCACTCTGATCGTAACTATTCAGGATACCGTTGACTTCACTCCTCAGGTCACCTGTGACACGAGGCCGCTCCAGCCACACGAACACAGATGCCTATGGGGGCACTTCTAGGAGAGATCTCCCCATGGATTGTCACTCCTCTGACCATGATCGGGCACATACTCTCCCGCAGACACCCCCATCTCCATCATGAAGCTCCTCTGTACAGAGATTGTCGGTCAGTAGGGGTTACCCGTCCGCTCTGGGAAGCGGGCAGCAGCACTGAGCTCGATCGTCCACTGTGGAATCAAACGCTCGTCCAGACCCCATCATCCCTGGGACAGCTGTTTCATCCCAAATGTTCCTAACAAACCTACGTCTTTGACGATCGCCCTGAGGGCCGCAAAAGGCGTGCAGGAGCCCTACGCCCTACGCTTGGAAATTCCAGCCTTGACGACCCGTTCGTGACGACAGAGGTCTGTGCCTGCTCCCCTAGAGAACACAAAACAACACAAACACACATTCTCTGATGTTCGCGCGAAGTTTTTGGATCGGCGCCGGACCCCCTCTCGCTGGCGCGCGGGGCGCGGCGGTGGCGGCGCTAGAGACTCCGCCAGGGGGGGCAACGCCGATCCAAGAAATCCGCGCGCAGCTCCGAGAAATTATGTTACATCAAACTGCTGCTTGTCCTTCCATCCCTCCTCTCCCTGGAGGGCCCAGTCCGAGCGCACTGGCCAGCGGCGTGAGGCACCTAGCCATCGGGCACAGCGGCCAGCAGTCGCGGCTGAGCGGCGTCGCTGGCCTTCGAGCCCAAGGCAGGAGGGAGGGACGACAGAGGATGGAGGGAGGGAGGGGGAAGGAGGGGGGAGGGGACACGTCCTCCTCCTCAGCCACTCCTCCCTCATCCTCCCTCCTCCTCCCTCCTCCCTCTTCCTCCTCCTCCTCCTCCTTCTCCTCCTCCTCCTCCTCCTCCTCCTCCTCCTCCTCCTCCTCCTCCTCCTCCTCCTCTCTCCTCCTCCTCCTCCTCCTCCTCCTCCCCTCCCCCCCTCCTCCTCCTCCTCCTCCTCCTCCTCCTCCTCCTCCTGCTCCTCCTCCTCCTCCTCCTCCTCCTCCTCCTCCTCCGACTCCTGCAGAGGCGAGGAGGAAAGATAGAAGGAGGAGGGAGGGGGTAAGGAGTGAAGGAGGGAGAAGGACATCGAGGAAGGAGGAGGCGATGTTTGGCTCGAGGGCCGTATCCGCAGAACATGCTCGACCCAGTAAGATCCCCGATAACTGGAAGAGGCAGGGGGCGGAGGAGTGGAGTAGAGTAGAGTGTAGTGCAATGGGGTGGAGTGGACGACATCACAAGGTGATATCCTGCATCGAACTGCACTGTAGCGTCGAGCTTCCTGCTGAGCTCGAGTGAGCGCCTTGGGCAACTGACCCTTCCCCAAACCTTCGGAGATACTCTCGTCTGGTGCTGGAATGGGTGCTGGTGACATCTGGTTTTGAATACTTAGAAAAAGAAAGAAGAGGGAGGAGGAAACTGGGACCGCGGCCTAGGCCTCTACAGCCGTCCGAACACACAACTCAAATTTCGCGGCAGGGCTGCAACCTAGCGGGCAAAAGCAGCTCCTCCTGCACTCTTCCTCCCCGGGGCACTCATGGGGCCTTCCGTAGCCCCCCTAATGGCGTTCTTGAGCCGTCTTAGGGCCATCTGGAAGCCTTCGAGGCCCATCAGAAGCAAAACAGCGAGAAGACATAACAAATAGCAATTCCCCTGAGGTTTGGGAGCCATGTTGGCGTCTTGGGGCGGTCCTCGGAAGGCTCGAAGGGTACAGGAAACCGTCTTGAGGCCGTCTAGGGGCTTCTTGGAGGTATGTGGTATGTCGGAGGCATATTGGGCCATCCTGGAGGCCATCTTGCGCTGTCTGAGGCCCTTTAGGAACCATCTTCGGGGATCTTGGGCGCTCTCACCCCTCGCGGGGCGCCCCGTCCAGACCCAGGGGAGGGGGTAGGGGGAGGGGTCAAGCCACCCACCCCGCCCGCAAGCCGTCTAGCTCACACCCACTCGACCTCCCAACACAGAAGTGACACCCGAGCCTGAGCATGTTCAGCGGTCGTCTTTGGATGGACAGCTACTGGGAACCAAAGCCGACCCCAGTTGCGCGACGCTTGGGCGAGGTGCGTCACGCGTGCCAGGGAGCGCCACGCGCGCCAGACACCCCTGGGGCCCGAGCGTGCCAGGCACGACTGGTGCGCGCGCTAGAGGCGCCACATGCTCCGAGTGCACCAAGTGTGCCGCACACTCCAGCCGCGCCAGGTGCGCCACGTTCGGGGCACGTGCAGAGTGCGCCAGGTGCGCCTGCGCACGTGACAGCACACATCGGGAAACGTGTCGGCCCCCACCACCCTTGTCGAAAACCAGTGCCCATCATTGTGTTTGGTCGGCCTGCGCACAGCAGGCCACGCGCCACCACTTCCGCCGTCCCTATCAAAAACCACTTGGCAATGATCACGGGGTGGCCGCGCATGATCCAGATTTAGCCGCGAGATGAATCCCACCAGCCCTCTGGACGTAGGTGGTCTAGGGAAGCTCCTCGTCCAATCCTCTCCTTCCCCTTCGGCGAATGGTCTATCACTGTTCCCTATTAGTAATCACCCCCTCCCCCACCCGGCCTGCAGCCAACCCGGAACCATGCGCACGCCATCATGAGGGCTCTCCCCACCATTCCTTTCAAAAACAATACAAAACGCACTCTGCCTCCAAATTCAGAGCATGCGCAACCAACCCGATGCGGTCCCCTCCCACCATCCGTGCTAAAAAACAATACACAATACAGTTCGGGGTAAAGTCTGGAGTTATGTTCGTGGGGCCCGCGGGCACTTTGGTTTGTTGTTCAACAGGGACGGCGGGGATGTCAGCATATTGCCCGCTGCGCGCAGGGCTACCATCCCTGACAAACACACAATACAAAATGCACCTCGCGGCTAAATGTCGATAGTGCGCGGCCACCCCGCAATGTGTGCTGTCACGTGCGCAAGCGTACCTGACACACTCTGCACGTGCCCCGGACGTGGCGCACCTGGCGCGTTTGGAGGGAGCATCTGGCGCACTAGGCGTGGCACGCTCGGGCCCCAGGGGTGCCTGGCGCGCGTGGCGCGCCTGGCACCACCGCTGAACATGCTCAGGCTCGGGTATCACTTCTGTGCTGGGAGGTCGAGTGGGAGTGAGCTAGAAGGCTTGCTATCTGGAGGGTGTCTTGATCACTGTTTCCTATTAATAAACACCCCCTCCCCCAAGCGACTGGGGGCCAACCAGGGTCCATGACAACCCCCACCCCACCATTTCTTGTAAAAACCATGCAAAACACACTCTGCCTCCAAATTCGGAACATGCGCAGCCAAACCGATGCGCCCCCCCCCGCCATCCTTGCCAACAAACAGTACAGAGTACACTTGGCGGCGGCGGCGGCTGCGGCGGCTGCGGCGGCGGCGGCGGCTGCGGCGGCTGCGGCGGCGGCGGCGGCGGCACGGCGGCGGCGGTGGCGGTGACGGCAGCGGCTGCGGCGGCGGAGGCGGTTTGGCAGCGGGGGCGGCGGCGGCGGCGGCGGCGGCGTGGCGGCAGCGGCGGCGGGCGGCGGCGGCGGCGGCGGAGGCGGCGGCGGTGGCGGCGGCGGATTGGCCCCCAGTAGCCACCCATCCAAAGACGACTGCTGAATATGCTGAGGCTCGGGCCAGACTCGGGTGCTACGTATGTGTTGGGAGGGCGGGTGGGAGTGAGCGAGACGGCTTGCGGGCGGGGAGGGGGTCTTGACCCCTCCCCCTACCCCCTCCCCTGGACCTGGAAGGGGGGGGTCGCGAGTCGTCAAGGCGTCCAAAACGGCCTCAGCGAGGAAGCCAACATCATTGATGTTACTAAGGTGTTGGCCCTGTTTTGGCCTCCTGGGGGGGGGACCCTAAGTGACGCTCCCCTCTTGTTTGATCGATCTCCTCCAAGATGGCCCCAAGAAGCACCCAGGAGGCCCCAAGAGGTCCCAAGATGGCCCCAAGGTG